ATAATAATAATAATAATAATAATAATAATAATAATAATAATAATAATAATAATAATAATAATAATAATAATAATAATAATAATAATAATAATAATAATAATAATAATAATAATAATAATAATAATAATAATAATAATAATAATAATAATAATAATAATAATAATAATAATAATAATAATAATAATAATAATAATAATAATAATGACGATTAATAATAATAATAATAATAACAACAACAATAATAAATGACAACAATAATAGCAATAATAATGACAATAATAATAATAGTAGTAATAATAATAACAATAATAACATTTTATCCATGTTCCGATTTAAATCATGACTGTCAAGTTTTATTTAAAGTTTATGAATGAAATATTGTAAAAAAAATGATATGTCTTAAATATGCTGTCGCATATTTCAAGAACTAAGCATGAACAGGAAGTTATAACTGACCGTGAAACCCTTCTCAAGCATGTTAAGAATCAAATTTTGTCCCATTACGGCGAGTCCAACTACCGCGATATCAGCTTTGTCCTTTTCATAAATTGACATCTTTACCAATCCTGAAAATCACTCACTTCCTTAATGAACTACCGCAACCACAAAAGAACGATACACTTGGACTAGAACCACCTCTTCCAACCTACTTTATGTCACGCTGACTATGTCATACAATGAAAATTAGATTTTCTTTTAATTTAAAACAATAGTTCCAACCCGTTGTTCGAGAGGACAGTGGTGTACTTACTAGAAAATTGTTGAAAGAAGAAACTTAACTTTATTCTTTGTGACTTCCTATGTTCTTTTTTATATTATAATGTTACTCTAAGTTTAATCAGTGCGCTAAAAATTTTGATTAAGGTATACTTTCGAATTAACAGGATTCATTATTTTTGAACCTTGTAGTTCCTGCTACAAATAATAAAAGCCAATGTATTCCCTGATCAAGAAAAGGTTGGGAACCACTGATTTAAAATCACGAGAATGTACTTGGCTGTTCGAGGCTAATTTTCTTTCAGGCATTCTGTTGTTTCCTAGTGTCACTGAGTTATGTTGTATAGGAGGAGAAGGTGAATACGAAGTTTTATATATAGGAAAACAATAATCAAGCGTTTTAGCAGAGGAATAGACATAATCATAAGCCAAACACTCCATTTAATCGCGGATTTGCAGGCAAGTTTCGAATGGACCTCCTCGTTTATATCATTTCGGCAATTTCTTGTCATTTCTATACATTTTTAAAGCTAACTGAAGAGGTGACCCCATGAAGCTTTAAAGCTTCTTTCTTGGCTAGGGAAAGCAAACAATAATCGTGAAAAAAAATTTGCAGATGAATCGATTTGCAGATTGAAACGGTATCGACGCTTCGGGCATACACAGATGAGAATATCTGTAGCCTCGTTATAAAATGAGAATACGATAGCCAAATTTGGTTTTATTGTCTACTTTATCAATTTATCTCATCATCGACGGAAAACAAACAGCATTAATTTATGGATGTTTACTTCGGAGGTGGAATTTTGATCATTGAAGAAAGCCACAAATTACTGGGATTAAAGAACATGTGTTGAAAATTGCACAACTTACAAATTCCAAAGACTAAACATTATTTAATAGATTGTTTGGTGCTAAATTCGAAAGAAATCCATCCTCCTGCTATCCCTGTGGTGTGACTATGAGAAGAAAGTATTTAGATTTATTCCTTCAACATACATTTGTCAAAAAGATTTGATCATACAGCAAAGATAGAAAAGCTGCACATAAACAAAAAAAAAGTATAGAAGTTGTAATAAATCAAAAAATAAAACGATGGGATACGATGGAATAGAACTGGACAGCACGGAATAGAAGAGAAGAGAGTAGGACAAGAGAGGGATGAATTGTCAGAAAATCAGACAGTGCAGAAAAACACGGCACTGTTTAATCTTCAGACTTGTTGCGTAAACATTTTCTACCCTTCATAGCAATAATTTGAACGAAGCAGAAGAAAGAAACGATTTTAGGAAATTGCACAAGAGGAATGCATTAAAATTTGTCAGAAATGCTGTGTTCAATTGGTACGTGGAGCTCTTTGATCTAGATTTCATGAGGCTGGGATTTCCAAAAGGCTTGAAGTTTCGCTGGATTTATAAGTTGCGATCTCTGTGGATGTTTTGGTAGAAACAAATTCTTTTCTTCTCAAAATCATTTAACAGAAAACGATCGCACTGCTTACCGGCACAGTGAGTGAACTGAGCCTGTTCTGTTTGTTTAAGCTTCGAAATGTAAGATCTTAATTAGTCGACATTAATTTGACTAATTATCGACTTAAGGGAAATGAATAGCCTACGGGCCATTACTTTTAGGCTTATTCTATCTACGCAGTTTTAAGGAATAATAGGTGTTGTAATACACTACTTGACATCTATATGTTACATCTGATTTTAGATCTGATTTTAGTTTTCAGAATACTCATCAGACTGACTAACACCAGATGCGCATTCCGAATGATACACCGAACAGCATCACACCAAACCATAACGTTATCTATAATAATGAGGAGAATATCTGTTCTTTATTGTTAAAAAGTGTGGATGATGAACGGGTTGATGTCTTACGATCTATTCTTGCACAAATTGGTTAATTGCGCTTAATCTCTTCCTCAAAGTTTAATAATCGATTTTGTCGAACATTTATAGCAAGTAAATGGACTTCATTATTTGAGGAGTTACAGCCTTAGAAATAAAATGACCATTACCATTTTAGAATTTCAATTTATTCCTTGAGCTTTTATGTGATAATAATCAAGATAATAATCAGTTTCAATGATTTCAGCATCGAAGTCGGATTTTCGCGAACAGGTAGATCAGATATGTTACAATGGAGGGACGATACTACATCATGCAGTAGTTCGAAGTAACTATTCTTCCAGTTGTTTTTAGTGCATTATGGTTTGAAAGTTTTCTCTTAGTTATGTAGTAACATGATACCGACCTTTTAATAGCTATGTTTATAAATACGAAAGTAATGTGTTGTGCTAGGACCGTGTAGTTTTACGACCGTGTTGTCAATTTCATTTAGTTTTTTTAGTGATGCTGCGATTTTAGCAGATTTCAACTAGTTACTTTCTATAAAATGTTGATAAAAAATACCGACACATAGTTAGTAATAACAAGTTTGTAGATTCGGTGGATAGTGTGCGGACGTTGCTATCAGCAGGTGTAAACCCATGTGTCCAGAATGACAATAATAACACAGCGTATCGGATGGCTTCTTCTGAAGAAGTTAAAAATGCATTTGTCCAAGAATTATTGCAAGCCGCCGCTCAGTCAAAGTTTGCTTTTCTCTTAATTAGCTGCTGTTTAAAATAAGGAATTATTTTCTTGTATATATTTAAAGCATCGTTTATTGTAGTTTGAGCCGAGTATGTCAAATGATATCAGCTGGAGTTAGTGTGAATTCGATTGATGCTATGGATACTGGTAATACTGCATTACACTGGGCAGCGTCTTATGGAAATGAAGATGTCGTGAGGTTGGAAACTTAGTGGAAATATGCCTCCAAGTGTAGTTTTTTTTGCTTCAGAAAAAGAAGATTAAAGTAATTTGCGAAACATTTAGTTATGGGTTAAAGCCGTAAATGATTTTGTAATTGTGCCGTCGATCTAGGATGCTATGTCAGAGTGGAGCAAATGTCAACATGTTAAATACGAAGAACGAAACAGCATTACATGACGCAGTACGCCGAGGAAATGATGGTGTCGTTAAATGTTTGCTAAGCCACGGAGCAGATCCAAATATTAAGAATAAAAGTGGAGAGGATTGTTACAAATTAGCTACAAAAATGGGAGGAACTGTGTTGCCTAGCTTGAGTTTGAATGCGTAATTTTTTTGTACTTCGGTTTAAATTCTTCATTTCCTTAAAAGTATTCAATGTTTTTAAGCGCTTTTCTACCTAAAGTAATTCACTAGATTAAAATTTATTCATAATTATAGATTAAATCACAACCATAGTTCAGTAGAACCATGCTTCATCTCGGTGGTTTTGTAGATTAAACCGTACAATTCGTCGGTCAACCTCCATAGATTCTGAAATTGATCGCTCTTCGTTAATATCAACCGATACTACAATGATGTTTGCGGAAAAAACGTCAAATTATAGTGCGGGTCGACTAGAAAGCTGGACCGACTTGTTATGGCCTCAGCCAAAATATATAGATTTGGATGAAAGGTATGTAAAAGTCAATCATTAGTTGAATATGCTTCGTAGTAGCTTCTGCACTTTTAACTAATTTATTGTACTGTAAATAGAAGTCCGTTATTCAGGAAACGCACTTGCCCATATCCAAAAGATGGTCGTTTAAAAATCTATTTTGATAAAGCTAGTGAAGCAGAACCGCGACGTTTAATGCAAATTATCCAGATGTCAGCACCCATCCTTTCAAGTGTCCATTTGGAATTGGATTATAGAGGTCATGGAGTAAGCGACTTTCGACTCTTTAAAAAAAGAAAAATTCAACTTTTATTAACACTTAACTGTATTTCGTCTAGCAAAATATCGCAGAAGTGTCAGAATTAATCGAGGGGATGGTGATAAATGACTTGCAGAAGGAATTGAAAATGTGTTCTGATTATCTAGTCATCAAGTTGGAAACACTGTAACGCAGTCATGTTAATCATCTTTGGATTATGACGTGACTTTGGATTTAACTATTTGAAATATTTGTAGGTTCGGGAGCAATCTACTTTGGATGGCAGAATTACGTGTGGCATTTTTGAAAATGGATGCTGCTCTGGTGCATATACACTAATGGTCAACGAAGATGGCATAGAACTATATGGCGAAGATCATACCGGTGTTCGGCATGGTTTTTCCACCCTTGTACAAATACTGAGAATCTTTAAAGAAGGTTGTGAGGTCCTAATTTATTATCCGATTTCTGGTTCATTTCTAACACAAGGTTTCTTATAAATCGAATATGAAGTCCCTTCCTGTTCAAATAATGATTCTTGAAATTTGCAAATGCACTTTTTTGTGTCGTTTGCAAACTACAATATTAAAGAAAATATATTAATTACTGACATGTCATCAATAAGATATTGCACTGTATAGTCCTTCTGGAAATCAAAACATAGTTTCTAGATAGTTAATTCAAGTACCGAAACATCATTGGAAACATTGCATGAAACACCTGAATCTGCAACAAAGATCACTGGCATTGTAATTAACGAACAGTTAAAAAAGATCGGTAGGTTTCTAATCATTCATCACATACTTTTTTTTGTGCGAGATAATATTCTTTTATTTTTTACAGGTGCAATACCTTGTCTAACGATTCGTGATTCTCCAGACTCATGCTTCCGAGCTGTTTACCAGGATTTTAGTGGCTGCAAAATACTGAACACAGAAACTGTAAGGTTTTACCTGACAACAATTTTACTGTCAAAACAAAGTCCGAAAATTTTGTGGGTTAATTTTTTTATTTTTATTCCAGCTTTTGCAACTTGCTACGCGTATTGGTTATTGTAAAGCGAGTCATTTATTCGTGAATTTTGAAGTACGAACCACTGATCGTTATCATCTGCCCTACACGACTCGAGATTTGTTTCAGATAACTCAAGTTTGTGACGAACTTTTTGTTAAGGTTGTTTTTCATCTGGTCGTCTGTGCGTGAGAGTCATGAGCATACTATTATCCTAATATAAGTAACTACTGGTTAGACTTCATTGTAATCAGGTTGTAACTCTGCATTTGGGAAGTGACCTTCTTGCGCATATTTTGGCGAAGTTTTAAAAAGAAAGTCAGTAGCTCTAATAACTGTTCTTTGTATGCATTGTAACCAAAAGTGTCTTATAAAATTATGATTATTACATTATTATTGGTAGTGATCGCATTTTATATTCAAAAGCATTGAAATATATTTTCCAAATAAGTGAAGTATTGAAATATTTCTTGTTCATTGGATAAGCGCTTTTTGAAAAGATTTCATTTGGTCTTTACAGTGTTAAAATGGTTTCCGTTATGAACACAATAAAATTTAAGATTATCTGCAGTTGTATTCTAGTTTTTTTAGTTTGTGCCGTCTCTAGACGTTCAGTCCAATTATATTGAATCGGACTTGGTGTGCCGAACCATCGATTCGTTTCTGGATGATTTCCCACTTACAAAAGTTGTGCATTTTGGTCCGAATTTGGCAGTTATAGTTATATCAAATCAATCAATTCTGAACAGTGTGCAGAAAAGAATACCAAGAATATATATTTCAATGGAAATCGATAAAAACAACGCTTCTTTGGTGAATTTTCATATCTACAAAAGAGAATCAAGGTCTTTAAGTTTCGAATTTAGATATTGCTTTAGCTTTTATTTTCAGATCAATAACTTGCCACCGTTCGTTACAATATGTGTAGAAGGAAAGTATCCTTTTGAAGCTGAAAACTTGCTTTCAACACGTTTGAATGTCGTATTACGGTTTTCGACAAGCGACCCTGGTTTTCTTTGTGCTGCTCCTGAATCTGTAGCTAAAAAGGCCTTGCTTGCCACTAGATTGGGTTGCAAGTTCCCAATTTTAGGTTAATTTTTGAGCACTTTATGCGTATTTATATTTTTTGTTTGATAAAGACATCATTTTCCTCATTTTCTAATTAGGCACAATGGTATGTGATCTGTCAACTGGTTGCGAAGTAATGCCGCCGTCATTGTCATACATGTCTGAATTAGCTTCTCTGGGCGTTTGCTGGAACAAATCCATTGATATAAAGCGTTTTTGTTTCTTATTACCTCGAATAACGGCAGAACATTTTCTTTTGGATGGGTAAGTTTTCCAGCAGGTTTTTAAAGAAACAAAATTTCTAGCTAGACTTTATGCAGTTGATGAAATTCCTAACGAAAACACGAAATTGTTATTTCAAGTGCAAAAATTTGAGAAAGTAAAGTGTTTGCATTTTGGATTTTTGATTTATTATGTATTGCTCGATATTGTAGCTGATGTTTTTTTAGAGACATGATCTCTATTTAAAATTACGTTCATTACATAGCAGGTTCTTGCAGTAATATGGAAGCCTTGTTCAAGCAGGTGTCTACCGTTGGAAGAGTTGAACATGAAATAACACGATTCAGTTACGGATTAAAAGCTGCAGAAAGCAGTGTGTTCACATTTTTTCATAAATTTACTTTAAAGGAGAGAATAATTTTTACTGCTCAGATTTTCATCTTATTTGATGATTAACTATGATAAAATAAGACTTCAAAGCAGTTTTAGATCTATTTTAGCTTAAAGTAAGCAGACTAAGAGGAAGACTTTCACTTGGAAGGAAGAAATATCTATTTTGCTAGCCAATAAACAGAATTCAGAAATGCTTTTTAACCATACTTACAGCTGGAGAAGTGCAAGAACAGTCATCTTTGCTATCATCAAACAAGAAAAAACCAATTTCGGTGTTTGTGGAAATGATATTAAATCCAGATAACATGGTCTTAGAACGACTAACTCCGGTCATTTTCAAGGTACATATTATTTAGATTATTCATAGGAGCAGTTTGATACTGTTCTTTTTGTACAACTGTATTTTGTTAATAAACTGAACGGATTTTACAGAAAGCACGGATAGAATTAAAACGTAGTTTGAAAGCATTGGATAAAGCAAAAAAACGTCTTCCTTACAATTATGAATTGGCACTTGTGCTGGCCGAGATACAGATCATCACCGAACTTATGGTTCTCGCTTGCAAGTTCGCCTCTTCTTTATGTTTTGAGGTGTTTAATTAAAAAAAAAAAAAAAAAAAACTACCAAAGCTTCTTGAAACTTAATTTACCTGTAGATTGGGCCAGTCGCTTTGCACATATGGTATAAACCCGTCGTTATCACCTAAGGATCAAAAAACCTCATTTTCATCTAGCACTAAATTGCTTCAAGAAACAACACTTATTGGTTATCAAATGGTTAATATCGGTGTGTCTAATTTACCACCAGCTGTGCGCACTGATCTCGCCAATAGGTTAGTTTGTTTACATCTTCTTTTGATTAAATTCTTCGCTGACAAAGTGTCTATCTCAGTAGTTGTCCATTTTCCTCCAGGATAAATTGTTGGAAATTGAACCATATATTTCAAATTTTTTCTGTGGAAAATTTTTTGTAACTGAATACAGTTCAGTTACAGTTCAAATTGAATGCAGTTCAATTTGCCAATGCTATTCACTTTTGCAGACTTCTTGAAATTCGCAGCCGTTTCCAGCACACGTGGCTATCACGCAACATTGCAAGTACTCTTCCGAATGCTCTAAAAATGTTTGACAACCTTTTTCGTGCACTTCTTCCACCAAACATGCAGGATTATGGGAGGGATTTACTTTGAATTAGCAGGAATGCAATTATAAAAAACTAAATATTCTAGAAATGACGGTCTTTGTTTCCGATCTTTTACTGTAATTTAGAGTTCATATGAAATTTGTCCATAATATATTAAGACAATCGATACAGATTGCATTACCAATTCAAAAAAAAAGAAAATTCAGTTTGTATATTAATTGTATATTCGTGATGTTTGAAATGAAATCTTTCGTAACTCCAGGGAAATCTAAGCTTTTGAAATTCTCATTTATTTACCTAATTCTTGTAATTTTGAATTATGAATCTGGATAGTTAGAATACAAACCTTTTTTTTTGCTTGCGGGATAGGTTGAACAAAGAATTGTAACTTACTTCTACTTTCATTTTCTCTAAATGTTGAGCGACCTGCATTAAATCACCTTATATTTATATACCAAGCTATCTGTAATCTGTGGCCTTCCAGTTCTTTCATTTCTCAAGCTTTTTTGATTCCATTTAGAGTTTTCCTAACACATGTTTTTTGTGTAATTGCATGCTGTGTTGTATGTGCCTGAATCGTTATCATTTTTTTTTCCTTGGGTTAAGTCATTAATTTATTATATAGCTCATTTATGTTACAAAATTACAACATGTTTACCAATCTCAATTTTTCTGTTCACTTTTGTGTGGACCTTGTATTTGTGCATTCCTTCTTGAAATCAAAGGAGTACATTTTGATTATGACAAATTGCAGTTATTGAACAGTCTCATATTTGGTCTTCTGGTATAACACATTCTCTTGGATCTGTGTAGTGCATATAGCTTATTTTGTATCATTTATGAGGTGGTTACTGTTTTGATAAATTTATTATTTATCATTTTCCTTTGAAATTTTGCGTTAACTCAAAAACACTTCTCAATTTTTTATCGTGTCAATTCATTTCAATCATAAAGGAGCTAGTGTTAAATATTAGAAAATAGTCTAAAGTTTGATTTGCAAAGTTAAGAAAACAAGTCGTAAATGATCCTTTTATACGTTTTTCCGTTGTAAATTTCAAGTTTGCTTATTAAGCTACCCTTATTATTCATCTCTCGGTTCAGAAGAATCAAAATTTCTGCCATAAAACGTTTAGATGCACACATAATCTTCTCTGTTCTATTGGTATTTCTTTAATCTTGACCACAAAAAATCTGAAAATTACTGGTAGCGGGATGCTACTAGTAATTTTTTTTTTGAACGAGATTGTTCAGCTTTTTACTGGATTTAGGAAAGCTATATTTAGGTTAATGTTGAGTCGATGGATGAGCATAAGACTGAATTAATGGTAAGGGAGCACGGATATGAATTTATCAGAAGGTTGTAGTGATAATAAGATTGGTGACATTCAGACATCATTCAAAGAAGCTTATTTCTGTCTGGGTTGTATGAACGCGACAAGTAACTGCTATGTTTCAGTTTTTATAGTAGAGACGATGTCAATTTTTACGGAGCTAAAAAATAAGTTAGATGAGGCAATAACTGGAGTGAATCGGTATAATCCAAATAATGTTGACACCCTTGAGAGTTGCATCGAAGCAATGGTGCAAGAGAATCAGTACGATAAAGATATACTGGTCACCACGTTAAAGCTTTATCAGCTTAATCCCGACAAGTTTGTTTTTGTTTCTTCTTTTTTGGCTTTTTACGGGTTAAATTTTACTTGTCTTGCAAGTTTCTAAGGAAAATTCGAATTTTAAAAATTTTTCATGAACTTCAGCTTTTCCTTCTGTTAAATTTTTCAATTGTGATCTGTGAATGAGAAATGAAAAACAGCATCAGTGTTGAAAATAAAAGATCAAAATCAGAACCGATAGCTTGTAACAAAAGGAACTCAGCAACTATATTCAACGTCTCAAAATATTAGGATTCAGAGATCGAGTGATCAAGATGTAATCATAATAGAGACTGCGAAAACAGTTGCTTTTTTCTGAAGAATAACGAAAAAAATTTCTTTAAGTTTCATATCAGGTATAATGAGAGTATGGTGAAGCTAATATTATTGAAAACGATGATGATGGCTCCGAAAAGCGATTATGCTCTCGCAAAATATCTAATTGATTCTAGCCGAGTTGGTTCACCGGTGAGTCTCTTATTTAACTCATTATCTGTTGTCCTCAAAAGTTCCGACTTTGAAAAAATTTTTTACCCGCTTATACAATTGTTTTTTCCGCTTAATTTTAGGAGCTTAAAAGAGTATTTGACATTGGGGCTTTGTTGGAATCTTGCAATTTTTCTGTATTTTGGCGTTTGATGCGAGGGGATTATCGACCACTAGATGACGTCAATGAACCATTTAGACAGCCAGGAGAAATTCCTAAAATCGTCAGAGCAGTACCAGGATTTGAAGAAAGTGTGAGAAATTGTGCGTATTTTAATTTTCTTTTTTGATAAGGATATTTCTCGAGAATCTTTTTAAAGGAATTATTTCCTCAGACTCTTGAGAGGATTGATATATTTCGACAATTTTAATATTTCTGATAATTTTTATCAATTTTAAATGCCTTATTTGCAGATGCATGCCAAGTAATCAATGTTACTTTCCAGAACATTGAAAAGTCTCTTCTTGTTCGCTTATTAGGTGGTGTTTCTGGTGAGTTTCGTTCCTAATATTTTTGCAGTCAATATTTCCGACGAAAATAAATGTCGAAAAAGCATTTTCAAATTGATTCTATTTTGATTTTACCAGTGCTTTTAAAAAGAGCTGATGACTTTTATTTTTCTAAATAAACTCGTTTGATGACTACTTTATACTTACTATAACGCATATGGCTCACATATGCATATGGCTTATCAGACCTCAGTGTGACTTGTCATATTTTGAAATCAAAAGCCCTGTTTTTGATTTTCTTGATTCTTTTCAAGGGTTATTGATTTTTATGTTGTGAGCAGTCCTTCGATTTTAAAGGGAAATGACAAGGATACTTCAGATAAGCAGGTAAACGAATACGCGCGATTTTATGGCTGGACACCGAAGGAGAATGGTGAAGTGTACTTCATACAGAATCATGAAGCAACAATCAAAAGCAGGAACATTGAAGAGAAACTCCAATTTGATAGTATGTTTTTTGAGTTATTGTCAAGTTTTATTTTGCTATAACATAAATCCTTTGGTTTATTTATACACGTTATTCTCGCCATAAAGCGATTCAGGGAGGTTTCGTGCAATATACTGACAGCTTTTCCGATTCATGGGACCTTACTTCTTTATCTTTTAATGCCGTGAAGTTTTTAACTGAATATGCTGAATCGTCAGGTCTTTCGATACATTTACGAAATTATTGTTTAAATATATAGCAGTTTTGCGCACTACTCAGAATCGAAATACAGCAAATTTTGCAGCCTGTAGGGATTTGGTGCGGATGTGTTCCTAATCAGCCAATGGCATATCACAACAGGACGTCGTTATTCATTCATTTCTAAATCGTTTTGTTAATGTTTTTATTATTTTGTAAGTAAAACTTTTGTTTCAAAAACTTCACTGGACAGATTTCTTGTCATTGTCCTCGAGAATTCGATTTAGATTTCAATTTTGTTACCTTAATCCCAGAGAATGTATAATAAACTATGAAAAAGGAGTGGGAACAATAAATAACAGACTGTATACTAGAGATTTCAAGCATATCTTAAAGGCGGTTAAATATTATTTGTGACGGCGTTTGAATTAAGATATTTTCCCGTGAAATTCTCTCCCGTAAAAATGGGGTAATTGATGTCACAGATTTGTGGTAAACGATGGAATACAGCGCATTTCGAAACATGAATCATGCAACCGGATTGGGATATATTGAATTGTTTTTGAATTACTGGACGGTGAATTTCTTGTCAAAACTTGACATTCGTTGGTGTAAATCTCATATTAAGTAAAAATTTGGTGGTGATATATACAGATAAATTTGATCCTTTGCGCGCATAAGATCACAATTGTTAAAAGCATGGGGAAGTCTTTCTTATTTGAAGAAAAAGAGTGTGCAAAACTCAGATGAAATACAAAGATGGTATATCTGACTTAGCTTTTGAAGTCCAGAAAAGCGACAAACAGTGGTGGGAATGGAGCAATGAGTTAAAAACTCTTTCAGCTTATGAGATTCACTTTCTAGAGGGATTCTTACATTATATGGTCTCGCAGTAAATGCCATTCATAGGATTCAGTCGTTCACTGTCATAATTGGACAATTGATTTGCGCAGAAATGAAGTTTCAGAATGTGAGACATTAAAAGACGGTTACGAATAGTCCGGACTACCTGTAATGGCTATGCATAACATCAGTATTTTTTTCAATACTTGTCATTCCGGTTGCTTTCGTAAGTTTCTGGATGCTGTTTGCTTTTCTTCAGTTTTCATTCACTGAGTTGGGTTCATAAGAATGAATGATAATTTTCAAAAATACAAACAAAATACTACATATTTGGTCGATGAGACTGCAGATTTTATTTTTTCAATAGTGTCACTTTTTGCTCGAAAAATTCAGAAGACGTAAATATTTGGAGTTAATTAAATTGAAGGTTCAATTAAGGTCAAGCATCAGAAACGTGTATTATGCGTTAGATTGTCACAAAAAAAGGTAATTACTAAGATTGCTAAAATTAGATGCTTTAAAAATTAAGAATTTTGAAAGAAAATTAGGGATACAGGAATGAAATTTGAATGCGTATAAGGCAGAGTTAAGCAGCTTAAAATCAAGTATAAGCACAATAAGGAATCAAAGAAAGCGTGTGCACTTTTAAAATGAAAATTTAGGAAAACAAAGAAGACTCAAACTAATTAAATCGAAAGTCTGTCTTATTTATATAATTGTGCTTTTACCTTCCGCAGTCAATTGACGTTTAACCAAATCAAACATCTTATCAATGGTTGCTTCTATGTCATACATCGGCTGCCAATTCCAGTCTTCCTTTGCACCTGTATCATCCAAGTTTTTAGGCCAAGAATCAGCTGCAATTTTCATGTGCCTTTTTCAGCAAAATAAGAAAAAAAGGAAAAATTATTCTTTCTTTGTCGAATCCTTCTCTTGCAACTAAAAATAACTTCTAAAACAAGTTGAAAAAAAACTTACAAATAATAAAACAATCGATAACTAACCAATCTTTTGTCTAGTCGGACAAACTTCATATTCCATTTCGAAATTCGGCATCACTTTGCAAATTGCCATAGCGATCTCCTCCGGTGTAAACGAGTAACCGGTAACATTATAGGTTCGATGCCTCAATTTTTCAGCTGGCGCTGACAGATACTGGAAACTTCTAATATTTAATTTCTTTTTTTTCCTTTGGAAATGCAATATAATTTGAAAGTTGAGTAAAATAAATTTAAAAACAACACAAACATACTTAAACCGGTAGCAATTAAATGGGATTAAGATAGAATTATGTACAAAAGAACAACGTTTGAATAGGGAATAAGCATGAAAATGTGTCAACCTGTTCCTCAATTCATGGGTTAAGATATTGATGAAATACTTCGGACTGTTAGGGAAAATTTTGAATCAAAAAACTAAACTTACTAAAATGATGGAAGTGATACAATCATCGTAGTACATCATTGGTAATCGTGAATTCGGGTGCAAATAACATTTATGTTTTCCATGAATCAGTGCATCATAAAATATTTGAACAGCGTAATCTAAATTTGATTCCATATCAAATTTTTTATTAAATTTGATGTGAAACAATTTAAATTTATAATTTTGGGAAGGAATATTTGATGTATTGTGTTATTAGATTGAACAAAATATGACGCACTTCAGATTGCATAATTTTAGAAACCTACCAGTTGTACCACCTCCTGGCTTCGTAATACTGATGATGCCTGGGAAACGTAATGAACGGAAATCAACGCCGAAGCGTTCATTATAGTATTCACCGAGAAGTTCGGCATATACCTCAGTAAAAATCGACATATTAGAACATGGAATTCATTAATCACTTAAATAGAAAAGTAGAATTATACCAGAATGATTTAATAGATTTAAAGGAAAGGTTTTTGGATTACTGACTTTAGTGACACCATATATTGTACGTGGCCTTTGGATACAAAGATCGGGAGTATGGTCGAGAGGTGTCGTTGGACCGAATGCGCCAATACTGCTCGGGATGAAAATTTGTGTTTTGTGCTGTCTAAATTTAGGAATAAAATGTTTCCTGGATCCGAAACTTAGTAAGTAAGCAAATAACTAACGAAAAATTCACTCTATGAAATTTTCTAACCCAAAATATTCCCCATCTTTGCTGTAATTTCCAATTCAAAATACTAGCTCAATAAAAGTTATTTTAGATTCTGTGCAAGAGCTATTGTTTTTTTCAAAGAAATTTCCAATGCATATAAGTAATGGAACGCGTCATTTCCAAAATACTGTCAAAAACGAACTTGGCAACTTCCAAAATATTTTGCACTCCTTCGGCATTTACCTTGAGTGCCAAAGGCACATTTGCTTCACCAGTAGCACTAAGCAATGCTGAAAAGTGGATGATCGCGTCAATGTTGTGATTGACAACAATTTGGTCGATAGCAGATTGATTTAGGATGTCCAGATAATAGAATGGCTCTAAAACTTCTTACATTAATGAAACTTTGGAAATTGAGAAATCAAAATGCAAAAAATCGAAATGCGTCTATTAGCAAGTGATTTAATTGGATTTCAATCATGGTTCGCGTATATCATTGATATAAAGTAATTCTAGGTCATGGGCATGATTTAAAAAGTTTTGTTGTGATTAACACGGTTCCTTGAGTTCTCAGTACTTCTGAGGTGTTATCGTATATCAAACACATTTCTCAGTCCAATTTCCATCGCTATCACGTGCAAGACCAATCACATAGCTTTCTCCTTTTCTTTGAAGCACTCGACAATGTATAATAGTTATTTACTATCAAATGTTAAATTTCTCAAAAAGTACTTTAACTGACTTTACGGATTTGAAATTATTTGTATTGCGAATATGCAAAAAACTAATTGTAAAAGCGGGAGATGCGAGGCATAGTACATGCTAAGGTTATACAGAAGTAAAAGTGTAATACCATGTTCATGTATTCACGTAGAAAAAAAACACAAATAATTCAGCGGAAATCTCAACTGTTTCTCGTTGAACTTTTTTTTTTTCTATTCATTGACTTGGCAGGTTCACATATTCCTACGTGAACTGATATTTCGACATGCCACATTATACTTCATTACAACATAGAATTTCAGAATGTAACAGCGTCACTATAAATTCAGAAAGATAAAATTTTACCACATTTCTTTTCCTTCCGTACTTTCACAATATCTGTCATTATTACCATATCGTCACCATATATTTTACTGAAGAGGAAGCACCAGTTTTTTATTGTAATCATTAAATTGAAACTTGTCATCTTACTTTTTTGCAACACCAAACAGACTAGAAAGGACCAAAATAGAAGTAATTATGGAAATAAGCAAAAAGATCAGTCATAATTACTGAACCATGGAGACTAAACTATCGCTGCAGTTAGCTATCGAATAACCAAGTAATATTTAATAGATAACTCATCAAAATGACACTCAGTAAAGGTGACTGAGTGAGTAGCATGATGGAATTGAACTTTGTCAAATTTTCTAAGGAAAAATGGAAATGCCAAATCAAAAATATTTTTGATAAAAAGAAAAATGTTGAGAACTTATTGATGGCGAGTGTTTCCACTTTGCATAATCCCAATGAGAATATTTGAAATTTCTGGAAAAAGAGGAAACATGCCGTAAGGTAGTTGCTAATCCATGTCCGAGTTGTCCTAGTGCACCAGTTATCAGTATCTTTTTTGTTCCTGTTGTCAAAGCAACGTCCGTAAATTTCGAATATAGATCTATTGGTTGAGTTCTTTGCTAAAAATTATCGAAGTGTTCAGAGAAAAAAAGATTGAAATTTCAAAAAAAAAAAACTTTACCTGCTATCCTAAGCCACCAGTATTCGAAAACACAACCTAAATTCTTAAATGAGAAGTTTTAAATATTCCAAATTTCGACATTTTGAGTTTCCATTTTCCCGTCAGAAAAAAAAGGAAATATAAAGAGTTATGTTTGAAGAAGCATACAACTGACTGTTGTGTTATATCCTCGATACTGCCGTGATTTAGGCTTTACAGAAATAATTGCATTCCAGCGTCCAGCTAATTTTGATTTGCCAAATGCACATATTCCCCTTTGCATCACTTCGTTTACAATTTCTATGACACTGTACATCATTCAAAATGACATATTCTGCACTTTACTCCCTTTCATTATATTAACATTACTATTCAAAATCCATACAGTTAAAGGCGAGCTAAATGACTAAATCATACATTCATCTCTTTGATACAATTACAGTCACCAAGGCCAATCTGGACAGATGATGCGCAAATCCTAAATGCACCATAAATATGGACTAGGCAAAATTACTATTATCATCTTGGTTCAGCCCTTTCGATCAACCTAGATTGGTTACTGCCAACACCAATATCTATATCAGACCATGGCCTAGAAAGGTACATGTTGCGTACTACTTAAACAACTCTACCAATTCCGAGACTGCGAGCTGACATATGTCTGTTTACACATCGTCCTTTCCTCTTTATTTTATCTACATATCGTCCTTCTATCTATTTACATATGTCCTTTCTTCTTCTGTCTGTATTGATAAAATTTCCACTTTATTTTCTTGCTGCCATGAATTTATAACCTAATACCGATACTGATTGCAAATGGAATGAATGTGTTGTTCAGGTCATTTCATTTCACTGATAACACTATCATCTGATACCAATGTCAGTCTGAATCTTCGAGCACAGACATGGCAAAAACAGCACTGGGATGGAATTAAATCTGTATGCTTAGGTTAACAGCAATGATTTCACTATGCTGTATTATTATTTAGAAAAAATTGGGAAAGTTATCTATGACAAAGACATAACAGTGCTAGAAATCAGTGATGCAATATGTACTACTATTATTGACACAATAAGAGAACATATTTTGAAAATAATATCAAAGATTAGTTTTAAATGGAACTAATCCTTTAGATCTTATCTAGGTCACTCACATGATTAAATACAGATAATCAGTGGCCCTTCGAATTATCAAACAGCAAAAAATTTCCATTTTTACAAAAGCATCCGTGTAGTATAAAAAAAATGCGTGAAACTTCCAAATCAAGTGAAAAACTAATTAATTTAATTTCTTTTGATATATAAATGTTGAGCTGAAATACTACAATCATAATTCCATTTCGCCTTCTCTTCTCTGAAGGAAACTTCATTGTATCTTACTAAGATACGATTTGCTAGACTGAACAGAATTTCAAAAGAAGACTCAGTTTCTCCTACCTTCTTATTCTATAACTTAAAAATATTAAACAAACCTATGCTCGAGAAACTATCACAACATCGTTACTGATTACGGTCAGTACAGAAATGTCACTTATCTTTATATTTCATTTGAACTAAAAATTGCTTCCTTTCTCGGATTTCAACCTACTGCATTTTCTAGGGTTAAAATGGATTTAAAAAGATAGCGCAATAAATGGATTTAATTTTAAACACAAATTATTGTTCAAATGGTTACTGTTGGCGGATGGTTGCATTGGAATTATTTTTTGTATTCACCCCACTCACATTCACATTTCTGTATGAATTCCATAAAGGCTGTTTATTCAAGGACTTTTTCCTAGTTGTCTAATCTGCTATTTATTGCTAATCGGGTATCAACAGTGTCAACAGCTAATTAATCTTAATTAACGATGTTAATGTTCATCTTATATCTCAAGACACTGTAACGTATGTTTAGACTGTAAACTGGAATTTTTCCTTTTCGTATAAATCAGTCAGTTGATAAAAGTGATGTAACTATCAAAGCGGATTTGTATTAATTCAAGTCACTACTTTAATTATTTCCCAATTACAACTTTGCATGTATATCATCAGGCTATCATTTAATTAAAACAGGAAATTATCAGTGATGGGAAAAATAGTGGGAATAAGACGTGGCTCTGTACACGACGTAGAAACAGTAAAACCAAATGCAAAATTCACGATGACATTATTTGGGGCAAACTTATGGCCTAGCAGATATGATTCAATTTGGTTAACCGATGCCGATCACTGCGCGGTATCAAATTTAAATTGTCATGAAATTCAATAACAGGAAGTTGGATATCTCTTGCTAATTTTTATACAAAGTAAACTGATTAAAAGGCAATGTTTTTTGTAACTTACACAAATATTAATTATTAATTGAGTAATTCAGGACTCCTTTCACATGAAAAAAGCTGTCTACTACATGAATGTAGTCGATGAATTTTCCTATAAAAATGTATTGGTAGTAGAACTAAAGGATGGTATTCCTGAAAACGACCATTTATATTTGTTATGTGTTAAACCATTTCTCTCCAACAAAGCTACTCCAGACAATGTTCGTATACCTATCTATGTTTAATTAAATGTTGAAGTTTCAGTAAAATAAATAATGCAGAAATCGAATCCGAATTCTTTAACTTCAATACTACATTTGAATGTTAAATGATTTAATCGAAGTTTTAAAGACTTAATCAAATTCATTTTTTTGGATCAAAACAACATTTTTTCTTTCTAAAGACTTGCACGCCCATTTTTCTTGTTCGAAAAATTCACTCTAGTCAATACGTGATTTACTTTAATCTTACTTTCTCAATGTTTCTTGAATAATCAGCAAAAGCATTTTTGTTTTTGAAAAAGTAAAAACAGTGAGTGGTACGTTTGTACCACTTCTACTCAAAGAAACACTATAAGTATTTTTCATTTGATTAATGATAATATGTATCAGTTTCAGAATGGTTACAGCAATAGAGAACTCAAAGGGATCAATCACATTTGTTTCAGATAAAAACATCAACTTATCTTCAGATTCGCGTGAAATTGTTAGCATCCCGGAGTCCTTACTGGATGCCTTTCTCACTGCATGCAATGATTCTTATCATCTTATCAATGTTAACAATGAGTGCACTTTTCTCGGGTCTTAATTTATCATTCACATCGGTTGCAATTAGCGAATTAAACATTATTACTCGTATGGGCGACGCATATGTATGTCATGAAATATATCGCCCAAAACTCTAATTAGTGCTTGCCATTCTGAACCGTTTTGGGAAACAATGAATTACAGTTAACAAGAAGACAATGTCTTACCTTTTTCTAAATTGGATAGAAATTTTAGAAAAGCCGTCTAGCGAAAAATATCATACCGGTACGGAAACATCTCAACTGGCTCATTTGTACGTTTGCAATAGCCAATGCAATCATTAATTGTGGATTATCATTGCTACTCGAGAACTTCTTTGAATACGTGAGTTAAATATAATAATAATAATAATAATAATAATAATAATAATAACAATAATAATAATAATAATAATAATAATAATAATAATAATAATAATAATAATAATAATAATAATAATAATAATAATAATAATAATAATAATAATAATAATAATAATAATAATAATAATAATAATAATAATAATAATAATAATAATAATAATAATAATAATAATAATAATAATAATAATAATAATAATAATAATAATAATAATAATAATAATAATAATAATAATAA